GGAAGGATGCATCACCACTCAGGGAGGCCAGATCTATCTCCAGGAGCCACTAGTAATCAAATAATTTATGATTGAACTTGGGAATTTACGTATTTTATTGATGCATTGAGAAATGACTATGATGGAATATGAAGATCTGAATGATTTCATACGCAAAGGTTGAGTAAAATGCTATTCTGATGCACGAGCTAAGTTAACCTCTATGTAGGTCGAGCCATATATGTTTGGAACATCCCAAGGTCTGCTGTCAGTCTACGTCAGCTGACCCCAACTGAAAGTGGTAAGGATGCTACAATTGACCTCTGTTTTCCTGAGGTAGAGAAAGGAGGTATTTGACAGGATATTTGCTCCTGATCCAGAGACTCACCACCTGTCACCCCCAGCTATAAAAGGCATGTGGAGATGTCTGTTGAAAGCAACACATGGCTCAGCCCATTACTGAATAACCTGGGTTCTGTAATTTCTGCTAGCTGTCAAATCTTGCATGTGAAAATTGAACCATTGGTTGGTTGTTTTATCGGAGACCACTTAATGCATTAGACCTATATCCGGCCAAGAAAATTGACGACAGTTACAGAAAGAAAAAGAGGCGACTGAGTGTACTTATTTAAATATGTACAGTACGAAAGTGTCTTGTGCAGAAGTCATGATTTTTCATGTTTGTAGGACCAATTGGACTCAGTTGGCAGGACTCTAATTCAAGAGGTGTGTGCTCTAACTCTGCTCCATGTTTCGACATTAATTTAGGCTGGCTTCTCTCCTGCTTTAATGAGAGATTATTACATTATCACTCATGCTGACCTTTGGTTATGTGGTGAATTGAAGCCTTTTCTGCTTGTTCCAGTGTTTTTTTTTAAATTCATTCAGGGATGAGGATTTCACTAGCTTGGCCAGCATTTACTGCACATCCCTAATGGCTGTTAACAAGGTAATGGTGTGCAGCCTTCTTGAACCATTGCAATTAATTTAGTGTAACTACTGTTAGGGAGGGAGTGTCAGGATTTTGACCCAACGACAGTGAAGGAATGGCAATATATTTTGAAGTAAGGATGGTAGTTGACTTTGAAACGAACTTGCAGGTGATTCCATGTATCAGCTGCCCTTGTCCTTACAGATGGTAGCGGTCCTAGGTTTGGAAGGTGCTGCCAAAGGAGTAAGAGAGTTACACAGCATAGAAACAGACCTTTCAGTCCAACTCATCAGTGCTGCTTTGGTGAATTTCACCAGCACATTTGGTAGCTGGTACACACTGCTACCACTGTAGTTGGTGGAGTAGTGAATGTTGAAGGTGGTGGATGTGATGCCAGTCAAGTGGGCTGCACCCGTCCAGGTGTCAAGCATCATGACTGTTGTTGGAGCTGCACTCTTGTACTGAAAACAACAAATGCTGGAGATCACAGCGAGTCAGACAGCATCCATGTAGAGAGAGCAAGCTAATGTTTCAAGTCTAGATGATTCTTCATTAGACCTGAAGTAAAGTGTGGAGGAGGCAGCATTTGTGCTGTAGTTGTGGGGGTAGGTGCTGTTGGTGGGGTATGGAGTGCTGGTGGAGAAAAGATGATAGTTAAGATTAAGTGTTCGGAATGTAAGAATGGCAGAACAATGTTGTGTCTAACTGCCAGACTTGAAAGAGCAGACGGTTCCACTGAGATGGGGAGAGGAGAGAGAGGATAGAGTGACAGAGAATGTAACAAGTTACGCTAAAAGAAAAGGCAGAAATGGGAGAATATAACAAGTAAAGCTAAAGGGAAGAAATGGAAGAGTGGAACAAGTAAAGCCTAAAGAAAGGGAAGAAATGGGAGTTGGTTCACAATTTAAAGGTGTTGAACTCAATATTAAGTCCAGAAGGCTGTAAAGTGCCTTGTCTAAAGATGAGATGTTTTTTCTCGAGTTTGTGCTGTGATTCACTGGAACACTGCAGGAGGCCGAGGACACACAAGTGGGCATGTGAGCAGGTGCTGTTTTAAAATGACTGGTTGTGGGAAGATCGGGCTCATACTTGCACACAGACCAGAGGTGTTCTGCAAAGCGGTCATCCAGTCTGCGTTTGTTTTCTCCAATTTAGAACAGACCGCATTGGGTGCAGTGAATACAAGAGATTGGAGGAGGTACAAGTGAAATACTGCTTCAACTGAAAAGGTCCTTGGAACGTGAGCAGGGAGGAGGTGAAGGGGCAGGTGTTGCACCTTCTGCAGTTACATGGGAAGGTGCCATTGGTGGTGGTGGTGGTGGTGGTGCGTGTGCGTGTGCTGTCAGTGGTTGACGAATGGACTAGGGTATCTTGGAGGGAACAATCCCTGTGAAATGCAGATGGGGGAGTGAGAGGAAGATGTGTTTGTTGATGGCGTTCTGCTGGAGTTGCCTGAAATAGTGGAGAATGATACTTTGAATGTGGAGGCTGGTGGGATGAACAGTAAGGACAAAGGGGACCTGATCACGCTGTTGTGAGTGATGGGAAGGGGAAGGGGCAGGGGCGGAAGCATAGGTGATAGGTTTGATGTGGTTGAGTGCCCTGTTGAGCACAGTGGGTGGTAAACCATGATAATGGAAGAAACAAGCAATGTTGGCAGTGCTGGTTTGGAAAGTGGCATCATCCAGATGCAATGTAGGCAAAGGAACTGCAAGAACGGAATAGAGTCTTTGCAGGATGTGGAGTGTGAAGAGCTGTGGTGAAGGTAGCTGTGGGGCTGAGTGCAGTGAAGGTAGCTGTGGGGCT